TTCCTGGCCAGTCTTTGTCAGTTTTCATTAGCTACTCATTAGGCTTACCCTTTTTTCCTGTCCTATATCTCACTGACCTAAATCACACGCAGTTAGTCATGATCAAAATGAAAATGTACCTGCTGACGCCTCCTATCCGGCCTTGTTCCTCTAGCGCTCTGGAACCGCCTATGGGACTGCCTGAGCCCTGGCTCCTCATTCTCCTTGGTGACCCTCACACGGCCTCGTCCTGCACACCTTCCCCTGTGTGCTGCCTTTGCCTACCAGTTACTCAAGTCACAGATGCTGTCCCTAGCCACCTCGGACACCTCCTTATCTGCTGCTTTCTGAATCATCAACAATTGGCTCCAGCCAATATGTTCAGTCTAATTTCTCAACTTTTCTACAGGTTTTTCCAGTTTTATTATTTATGGTTTTCAAACATTTATCACTTTTTTACCCCATGGTTTTGCACATAGAATTCTAGAATCGTGCCTTCCTATCTTCCACTGTTGGCTAATTGTTTTTTTTTTTTACAGTCTTGCTGTGTAGTTCAGGTTGACCTTGAAGCTCCCCCCGCCCCCCGAACTGGGGATAGAACTCAGGACCTTGCATTTGTGAGGAGGCAGCATCACTGAGCTAAATCCCCGGCCAAGGTCATGAACTCTTGCTGATCCTTCTGCCTTGGCCTCATGAGTGCTGGGATTACTGCATGAGCCACCATGCCTGACTTTGGCTGTTTAATTTTGCTTTCAGAGTTCAGTGTAGTGGCTCCTCAGTTGAACTGCCCATAGTTTTGTTTTTCTTTTCTTTTTTTTTCCTTCAGTACTGAGTACTGAACTAAGGTGTACACTACTACTGAGCTATACCCCCAGCTCTTTTTTTTTTTTTAAGTTTTGAGACTATCTCACTAAGTCATTAAATATTAAATTTCCTAGGCTGGTTTTGAACTCGCAATCCTCCTGCTTCAACCTCCCAGAGAGCTGGGATTGTAGGAATGTGCCACCGTACCTGGCTTCTACCCACTTAAAATTGTACTTGCATACTTGCAATTCTTGAAGTTTTCCCTACTCTGTGTCTTTGTTGGAGGACAATTTTATGGAGTGCATGGCTTCCGTCCCCCCACGCCCGCGCAGCTTGGGTTGAAAGGACTTGGATGTGAGCATGCCCACATGCATACTCACTGACTTCAAGACTCCAACTCAAAGTGGATGCCGGGAAACAGTTCCCCTTTGAACTTCTGTCCTGTTTCTCTCTTCCCTCAATCTAAGGCACGCCATAGAAAGAAGGGTTTCTCTTCCACAAGGCAGGTCACAGAAAGTAGAGCTCCCTTTCCCCAAAACTGAGGAATAAAAAAATCAAAATAAGGATTTATTAAAAATGTATAAAGCAAGATCTATTTTTTTGTTGTTTCCATTGGTTTTGTTGCCATTGAGAAAAGGTCTAATTTTGTTTTCCAGGCCGTCCTTGAGCTCACTTTGTAGTTCAGGTTGGTCTTGAACTCTTGGATCCTCCTGCTTCAGCCTTCCGAATTCTGGGATTATGGTTAGGTACCACTATACCTGGTTTGGATCCATTATGTTGTTATGGGGATAGATGTACTCCCAATATGCTTGATGTCAGATACACTGAGTTTGTGTTCCCCCAAGTCAAAGAATGAATTCTAAGGAAAAATGGAGGTTAAGAGTAGGAAACTTTATTTGGGATTAACAGTAGCTCCTGAGGGCTGGGGATTTAGCTCAGTGGTGTCACTGCCTGCCTCGCAAGCGCAAGGACCTGAGTTCGATACCTGGTACCAAAAAAAAAAAAAAAAAAAAAAGCTCCTGAGAGACAGGAGACCTTTTGAAGGTGTTGCCAACAAGCCTGCGCACTTTTCAATTTTTTTTTCTGGTACCAGGGATTGAACTCGGGACCTTGTACTTGTGAGGCAGGCACAGTGCCACTGAGCTAACTCTTTGGCTTGTCAAAGGTAGTTTCGTAGAGCAAAGTCAGGCTCAGTGGTTATGACATGGGTGAAAACTATAATCAACTAATAAGATTACAAATATAGTCACTTAAGTAATACTGACCTAATAGTAAGCAGGGTATATGGATGACATCACCTTGGTTGATAACTGGTAGTGTTAGTTGTAAGTCTTCTCAATTTTAGCAGGTGTAGGACAGCCCACTCCCAATGAAATACTGGTTTATCTATGTGTGAAAGCCCCAAAAGGGTGGTACCATTAATTTCAAGCTTCTGTTCTTCCCTAGGCAAGTAGGAAAATCTGGCCATTGTGACTTTAACTTTCAGATTTGCCTCCAGCCACAGCTTCCATGTGTTTCTTCTCAACTTCTGCAGTGACTTTGAGGGCCCCACCCTGTCTGACTGCCTATATTTCTACCTAAATTAGATGTCTATATCAATGTTTTTGTGTTTTTAAATGAAAACATTTTTCAAAGCAAAAAAAAAAAAAAAAAAAAAAAAACATGCAGCGGGCTGGGGATTTAGCTCAGTGGTGCCGCTGCCTACCTTGTAAACACAAGGACCTGTTTGATCCCCGGTACCACCCCCCCAAAAAGTGCAGAGTGGCACATTTTTGCAAATCTCTGTCTGCCTCAGTAGAAGGCTTCTGCATTGTCTGTTGTGATGTCACATCATGTAGCCTCTGGAAAACCCACTATGTGCCGTGAGAGTATGAGCGTGAGAAGGCACATCAAGTCCTGGTAATATGGCGTTATTAGTTTCTTGTAAGAAACCACAAACTTAGTGGCTTAAACCAGTATACATTTATTTTACAGTTATGCAGGCCAGAAATCTGAAGCAGGACTTTTTTTTTGCTACCTCGTGGAATATGAGGAAAATGTTTCTTTGCCATTTCTATCTTTGTATGGCTGACTGTATTGTGTATTTTGTTCCCTTCCTCCATCACCAAAACTCATTATTCCAATCTTTTAATCTTTTGAAACAGGGTCTCACCATATAGTTCAGGATGTCTTTGAACTCTTAGGTGATCCTCTTGCTTTAGCCTTGGGAGGGGCTCGAATTACAGGTGTGTGCCACCATGCCACCTCATAAACTTTTTTTTTTGGTATAGGGATGTCAGCTATGAGCCTTTTCTGTTTTGTTTTGTTTTTTGTTTTTGGTAGCAGGTATTGAACTCGGGTTCTTGAGCTTGACAGGCAGGTGGTGGACCCACAGAGCTAAATCCCTGGCCCCTATGAGCCTTTTTCTAGTAAGAAGGAAAAGGGGTTGGGGATTTTAGCTCAGTGGTTGTGGTGCCTGCCTCTCAAGGAAAGGTTCTGAGTTCAGTCTCCGGTACAAAAAAAAAAAAAAAGAAGGAAATGGATCACCTTCTTTTCCACAACTACAATCCCTTTTAGCCACCAATCTTCCCTTAGTCTTTAAGCATTGTTTACATTTTTTGGGGTGGGGCTTGCAGAGGTTAAAGTTCTCTGAGGGTTTAACACTGCTATAGATGATTTACAATGTAAGCCCTGCTGCAGATAGGAGGTCACTGATTTAGCAGGGAGTGGACTTTCCTGGAAGATGCTGGTGTGGGGCATTGGGCCTTGTCATAGCAGCAGACAGCAGCCAGAGCATTTCAGCTCTCAGTGGTGCTAGGCTGGTTGCAGTCCAACCTGTCTGAGCTTTAAGGAACAAATCAGGACTTTTGGAGCCTGATCTCTCAGAAGATTTCTCTTCTTTTACATGAGTTAACGCAGATATGACCAGGCAAAACTGCCCGCTGGGTTAGTCCATGGTCGGGAATCTATCAGGCTGCAGCTTTAATTTGGGTTTTGATTTTGCAGAAGTCCATTATTTTCCTGGTTTAGGACAGGAGAATCTGGACAGCATTGGTGCAGAAGCGGCTTTTAGAAATAAAGAAAATGGGGTGGGGGGTGGGGCTCTGCTCAGTCTGAGGCTGCCCCACTGAATGGCTATTGAAGATTTTCTCACTTAACCTTGTCCACTTATAGATGAGGAAACTGGGTACACGGGTTAATTACTGAGGTAGGCGGTTGAGTCGAAGCCCCAACTGATGCCAGTTCTAGCTTATCAAACTGCTCATTTTTCTTCCCTTGGTTTCCCCATTCTTCCAGCACACCAAACAACTTAGGTGCAACAATCTAACACTTGGTCAGCTTAATTCCTACATTTTCTCCAGGGCTCTCACCAGAAGAGCCTGGCCCCAAGCATGGCGTGGCAAGCTGGGTTTCCGTGGCAGCCACGGCCCCGCGTGTGGACAGAGCCGGGAGGCTCCCCGGGGCAGTCACCGGCGTGGGTGCGGGGCAGAAAGGGCTCGGGAGCTGCAGGTGGCGCCCGGCTCGTTCGTCAGGGAAGAACGGGCGACGCTTCGCCGACCACGTCCAGAAGGCGGAAGCCCTTCCTA